GCAGCTGCAGGGCGGGGCCGTATCAGCGGCAGGTCGGGGCCGAGGCAGAGGGACGTGCGCGGCTCGGCGCGGGCTGCGCTGACAGCGCGCTGGGCTGCTGCAGGCCGCGCGCGGCCGCGCTAGGCAGTAGCGGGCCGCGCGCGGCTCGGCGCGGGCTGCTGCGGGCCGCGCGCGGGCCTCGCGAGGCCGTAGCAGGCCGCGCGCGGCTCGACGCGGGCTGCGTGGGCTCGGCGCGGGCTGCGCGCGGCTCGGTGCGGGCTGCGCGCGGCTGCAGCGGGCTGCGCGCGGCTGCGGGCTGCGCGCGGCAGCAGCGGGCTGCGCGCGGCTCGGTGCGGGCTGTTCGCGGGCCTGAAGGGCGTGTAGGGGGGGCGCGCGGGCCTAGCGGGCCTCTAGGGGCAGCGCGCTGGCCTAGGGCAGCAGGAGGCAGCGCTAGGGCTGCTGGACGGCTCGCGTAGTGCAGCACGTCACAAGGCAAGGCAAGGCAGGCAGGTACGTGGGGTAGCGCGGTAACCGCAGCGGTAGGTGGGCCCGAAAAAAAACGGTCCTACGGACCTTAGTGCTCTGAAACCATGTTAGAATCTAGCAGCAGGAATGGATGAACTAACAGCATGCAGGAGTACAAGTAGTAAACCCTAATTGGGTTGTACCCCATATGAGCTACCCCACTACAGCCTAGACAATATGCAGCATATATGTTTGACACGTGTGTATGTGTAGATGGGTGTATGCGTGTGTGTGTGCATGCGTGTGTGAGTGTGTGTGTGCGTGTGTATGTATGTATGTGTGTGTGTGTGTGTGTGTGTGTGTGTATGTGTGTATGTGTGCGTGTATACATATGTGCGAGTGTGTGTGTGTGCGCGCGTGTATATGTGCGTGTATGTGTGCGTGCGTGTCTGTGTGTGTGCGTATCTGTGTGCGTGTGTGTATGTATGTGTGTGTGTGTGTGTGTGTGTGTATGTGTGTGTGTATGTGTGTGTGTGAATATGTGTGTATATGCGGTGTGTGTGTGTATGTTTGTGTGTGTGTGTATGTGTGTGTGTGTGTATGTGTGTCTGTTTGTCTCTGTGTATGTATATGTGTATGTGTGTGTGTATGTGTGCATGTGTACATGCACGCGCGTGCGTTCGTGCACGTGCGTGCATATGTGTGTGTGTATGTGTGTGTGTGTGTGTGTGTGCATGCGTGTGTGTGTGTGCACGCGCGCGCGCGTGTGCTTGCGTGCATTCTTACGTGTGTGCGTGTGTGTGGGGGTAACAAATTGAGGAGCAGTAAGGTCACTACTGAGGGAGGAAATGATACGCAAGATTGCAGGTCAAGCGGCACGAGGAAAGTCAAAGAATGGGGGATGAGGAGATAGCCAGGGACAATGAAGGAGATGGAATAATTTAAAGGTGACGATGATGGAGGAGCATAGAGTGGATAACGGGAAAGGGGATTGCAGGACGAGCATAAGAGGGACAACCGACCCATGCGTGGGAGTGAGGAGTCAAGTCAGGAGACAGAAGAGAGGAGAAAAATGTGAACGAGGAGGAAGACGAAACGAAGACGAGTCGGGGGTAGGATACGAAGGGCCATATACTGCGAGAGACGGTGGGGAGAGTAGGCAGTCGGTCAGTCGAAGGGTAAGACATGCCAATAAGATGAAGTGTAGACACATGCGGCCATGACGGCTATTGAGGCAGCTATGGCGGCGACTGCTGTAGCAGCCGTCCGGTACCCACAGCACCCCCATAACAAGTACCTCATGTGGTACCACCCCCAGCACTAGAACCCCCAAAGTAGCACGCACCACCAGAAATAACACCTGAAGAGCCAACACCCACAGAGTTTACACCGATCGGTAGTGAAGGTTGCTATGGCGATTGTGAGGATGAGGTGAGTGACGACAAAGACCACGATAGAGACTGCGGTGGGGGCGGTGAAGGGGCCAACAAATGAGGTGCACCTCCACATATTAGTCCTTGAGAGTAATCGAAATTGACATCGCACGAATGGAAGAAATCGTGGAAAGAGTGTCGTCGCTGAGGAAGTCAAGGAAAACACAAGGGAGGGGTTGGAGTGTAGACAAAGCACAAGTGGGGCATGTTGGGCGCGGACTAATACTAGCCATGGGATAAGAGTGCCAGGCACAACTTTCCGCTCAAAGAGAAGCATCATGGTGTAGTGGGAATATTCGTCCACAATAACCAGGAAATAACGATCCCACCGCGGCCTAGAGATGGGAGTAGGTCCAAGAGGTCTATGTGTAAGGTCTGTGTCAAAATCCCAGCCACTAACCACTGGGATAAAAGGGCTTGTTTGTGTAGCGGGTGAGTGCGCCCATAACCCTCAAGGCCAACGTGCCTGTAACCCTTCCCTAGGATCAATCGGGGATCACTAGTGGACCTCTGACACCCCCCCCGCACTGGGATGCCCGAGGTGCACACACCGAGATTTGAACCCGAGACCTTCGCTCTGATACCATGTCAAAATCCCAGCCACTAACCACTGGGATAAAAAGGCTTGTTTGTGTATGTTGGAATAACCGAAAGGTTATTATAAGCATTCCAGAAGGCATTCCACTAACGCATCAGCTGTCAGCAGAACCCAGCACTGTACTAGTACCGCAATAGCTCATATAGAGCATGCGGAAGGTCGAGGGTCATCCGAAGGTCAACCGACAATGGTAATCAACGGTCGTGACCCTTGACCATACAGTAACTGCACGACAGTTGTTCACTGCAACATGGTAACTGTCGAGAATGACAATAGTCGCGGCTATGCAATACAGTTAATAAGGGAATGTACCCCTCAGAGTACATGGCTAGCTAGTTTGCTATTTAATCCCTTGTACTCCTATCTTTTAATCATCTTGTTCTCTTTCAACTATTATTCAACAAGGTCACTACAGAGACTTCATTGTCTCCTCTCAGACTTAGCAGACTTATCCTATTCACTTGATCCTTCGGTTACATCAGCAGTGTAGCGGGTGAGTGCGCCCATAACCCCCCCCAAGGGATGCAAGTGCCTGTAACCCTTCCCTAGGATCAATCGGGGATCTCCAGTGGACCTCTGACAGTCTGCAGAGTTGGAGCAGGGCTGATTTTATCAGGGTAATTACCCTGATTTCAGGGTGATTACAGGCTTCTCACATGGTGGTCAAGGCACTTGCAGTTTTTTTAACTTGTGAACTCTGATCCAATCAGATAAGTTACTTAACGAACCCTGAAATCTTGTAACTAGGCTCAGTGTAGTGTAGTTGCGGTCTCTGTCAATGTAGAGTACGCGTTCTGTGGACCCTGAATGCGGGGGTATCGGGACGAAGGTTCCTAGAACTTTCCTTCCGATAACCCCGCCTTCAGACTGATCGCGTGATCCCCACCCTCCCCCCCCCCCCCCCCCCCCCCTCTCCTCCCCACCCCTCCCCACCCCTCCCCCCTTTATCGAGCCGAAGTTTCTTCAAACTTCTTTCTGATATACCGCCAAAGTGATCGGGCGAATCTGCAATGTCAGAAATATTTTGTTGTGATTGGTCGAAATAGTTCTGCTCTTACAGCGGAAATCTGTGACTCGAACAGGTTTGACTCGCTCCAGGATGCACGCCTCTGAGGGTGACTAAAACGTTACTGTACAGTTGCAGTGTGTCTGAAGAGATCCGATTGGGCATGGTAATAAGACAGGGAAACAATGCACCCGCACACCAGATAGGTCAATCGCACCCGCCCTGCACAAAATAGTCGAGTGCACAGCCAGCGCGAAACACAGCGCGCAGGCTATGGAGAGTGGGACATTTTTCCCCGGTAACAAAGAGCGCGTTACTACTCTGATGTTCAATTGTCGACCTTGAACAATCAGAGTTAACTACTTTACAACCCTGAGCAATCAGGGTACTGTTTTTCTGGAAAATGTGCACCCATAATAGACGGGGAAAATTTTCCCCGAAATCAGGGAGGCATAAAATGAAACGTCAGCCCTGAGTTGGAGTAAAGGTGGAGTTGTCAGAGGTCCACTGGAGATCCCCGATTGATCATAGGGAAGGGTTACAGGCACGTCAGCCTGGGGGGTTATGGGCGCACTCACCTGCTACACAAAAAGCATTTTTATCCTAGTGGTTAGTGGCTGAGGTTCTGACATGGTATCAGGGCGAAGATTTCTGGTCCGAATTTCAATATGAACACTTTGGGCATCCAAGTGCCGGGGGGGAGGGGGAGGGGTGGGGGTCAGAGGTCCACTGGAGATACAGACACGTTGGCCTAGCGGGTTATGGGCGCACCCGCTAAAAAAAAAAACCCTTTTATCCCAGTGGTTAGTGGCTGGGGTTCTGACAGGACTGTGGGGTGGGTGGCAGACAATATGCCCTCGACACAAATAGTGCATGGTGGCACAGACGAGAGAGGAAAGAGGGGAGGGAGGGGGGGGGGGGGGGGACTGTCAAACAATGTACATATGTTGTTGCTGTGTAGGCTACAGTGGGTTAGCCTTTAGGGGGTACACAATTCTAGGGTTTCATACTTGTACTCCATTCTCTCATAGTACAATCACTTCTCTCATTCTGACATGGTATTACGAGCCTAGGTTAGGAACCTAGGACCGATCGTTCATACGGGCCCACCGTTCCGTCAGTAGTGCCCTCGTGCACCTTCTCGTTCTTGCGCCCTCGTGCGCCTCGCTCCTAGGGCGCCCTCGAGCGCCCCGCTGTCTGGCCGCGGGACGACGAGAGACCTGAGACGAACTAAACTGATATATATTTCAGAGACGTGGGAGCGCGAGGTGGGGTGGCATAGTCTGCAGGGCAACATATCTTGTTATATATAATAAAATATGTGGCCTCAATTGTGCTGCCTTTGTACATAACACTGCCAAACTGCATGCAGACTCACCTTGGCTAGTTATTGTTCCTCCTATATT